ACAAATATGATTATCTTTTGAATGGGTTCATGGGTTATAATTTGTTCCTATTTCTAATATAGAGGGTGGGATACTGGAGTTTCTGAGCAAGGAGTCAAACATAAGCATTTCAAAATTTGAATTTTTCTCTGATGAAGATCTCTTGGACAACTTTCCGCTTTTGGGGATGTGAATTATTATTATTATTTATTAAACGGCTCTAAAATTGGCGATTTTAAGATCAGTTTCTATAGAAAATTTTTAATTCGGAGATCCAGGAATTTTTTAAAGATTTTTTTTTAAAATTATAACATTGACAAATTTAAGTAAATTAATGGTAATACCGTATGTTCATGAATACCACATGTACGTTTTTTTTTTTTTTTTTTTTTTTTTTGATAATTTTAATTGGAAAAATCGAGGCGCGTGGCTTGCTTATGCGAAACAAAGCAATATAGGTCATATGATCAGCATAAATTTCTTTTTGAAGCTACGTTATCCTCAAATATAACGTTATATGATGTTACTGTACCCTCTGAAATAATTAAATCCAAAGTACCATGGTGTGGTAAGTTATCTGCCTTTGTGAGATTAATCAACTGAAGCTATTGTTTAATGAATAAAATTTTATATAACATACTTAGATTAGCAATTTTTTCTTTCTGCCATAGAATTAAATTCTGCTAACCGATTTATTACTGCCCATTAAAATGTTACTTGACTTGGGCAAGAGCAGGTGGTAGCTCAGATTTCTTTCCGATAACCATCGATCGGTATCGCACTTCTTTGTTTCTTTATGCTCGTAGTCCAGAAAAACGATTTTTTCTGTAAATTAAGCTTTTAGTGGGCTTGATGAAAATATATGTGCCATATTCGCGGCCTTTTTTTCTTTTTAGGTGCATTGAAAAAATCAGGTGCATGTCTTATTTGGTGACGTGTGGTATTTGTGAACATATGGTGTATTTAAGAAATATCATTAAAATAAAACACTTTTATGTTTTTTGCTGCGATATTATGAAGTGACATTACTTTCATTTTGGCGACTTGTTATACAGTATTTTTAATCTGAAAAATAAATAAGGTAATAAATGCTAACAGTTTACAAAACAATTCATAGCAAAAGCAAAATAACTATGTAATTAATTGAGAATTTCTTCCTTTTAATTTTTTCACGGTAAGAATTTTTTCCATGTAAATGTCTCAAAATATTCAGAGTTGTCAGAATATGCATCAGTTTTCCTTATAAAATTAATTTTATACATTTTTCCCACTACCCCTAATATTTCTGGCCTTTTTTCTATTAGAAAATTGGTAGGGCTAATTTTTCTTTAGGATTATAAGCATTGCAACATGGAAAGTTTAGAAGGCTGTGAAGGCAAGACTTGCAGACCCACAATTCTAGAAGGCTCCTGAAAAATGTCTTCATTGTATTAACGCATAATGGATATATTTTACCAAAAGTTTGTGATAAATTTCTTACATTTCGGAAGACCAATGAAAACATAATGTTTTAATGTTGTACTTCTGATACTAGAAGTCTTTTTCTTAACATGTTTATCTTCCTTTTATTTTCTCAACATTTCACTGGACATAAGTATGGAAAATATCAAAAATGTTCTTTTCGCATGGACAGGCATTTATAAAAAAAGAATTTTTCTCCACATAAAGAAATTGAAAATTGACAATTTGAAAGATTCACTGTATATGTCTCAATGGATCCTACATTGGGCTGGCGCTAGGCATTTTCCCCACCTGATGCAATAATCTCTGTGAATCCTAAATTCTGCCGCCTAGCACCTTCTCAAATTATGCTGCCTAGTGCTGTCCTAAATTCTGCTCCCTGTGCCTGTCCTAAATTTTAAAAGTTTTGAAATTTCTAGATTTTTGTTGCTCGGTGTGTCACTAAATTCTAAAAATTCTGCCTCATTGGCTCTGAAATCGGCCCTTAGTGTATATTATTTCATATGTATTCTAAATGTTCAGCTTTTTCTTTACATTCTAAATGTGTTTAGTTTTTTAGAATAACAGAAATCTTTAATTAATTCCAAAAAATTTATTAAAGAGTAGAGGAAACGTATTGAAGAAAGAAAGTGAATACATAAAGAGGAAGAAATTTATTCTTCAAAGAGATGTACAGTTATTATTATGAAAATTAACCAGTTGTTTATAATTTTAGCCTTTACTGTAACTTCCCCTTTGTGTTTCTGATACTAGAAGTCTTTTTCTTAATATGTTTATCTCCCTTTTATTTTCTCAACTTTTCACTGGTATGGAAAATATCAAAAATGTTTCTAATCTTTTCATGTGGACAGGTATTTATAAAAAAGAATTTTTCTACTAATAAAGAAATTGGAAACTCACAATTTAAAGGATTCACCTTATATGTCTCAATGGATCCTACATTGGACTGGCGCTAGGCATTTTCCCACCTGATGCAATAATCTCTGTGGATCCTAAATTCTGCCACCTAGAACCTTCCCAAATTATGCTGCCTAGTACTGTCCTAAATGCAAATCGGATAGTTTTTAAGCAGATGTCTTTTGTCTTTGGATTGTAAGACAGATTGTTTTTGCCCTCCACTTAGCTGTTGCCCTAGTTCCTGCTAGCTCTTATAATTTGTAATTATTCATCTTTGGTGTTGTCGCTGCTAACATATGAATTTGTTATGACGATAGAGTTACTTAGCCAGCTTAGGTTCAAATTAAATTGTGTAGCCTTTGACTACTAGTCCACAGTTTTAGTTTGAACTAGACTGTTCCTTGTTTAATTGCATCACCACAAACTGTCGTTGATTTTGTCAACATTAAGAACATGCTTGTGTGTTCTAAGTTCTTTTTAAGTGAGAGGTTTATTTAAACCTGTATGTGACTTTATAGTTACTTTCAGAGTTTTAGTTTGAACTTGACTGTTCCTAATTAATTGCATCACCACAAGCTGTAGTTGATTTTTGATAACATAAGAACGTGTCTGCATGTTCTAAATTCTTTTTAAATAAGAGGTTTATTTAAACCTTATGTGACTTTGTAGTTACTTTCACACATGGCGATAATTTGCTTCATGTCTAACAGAGGTTTTGGATTATTTAACTTTTACCGGATTAAGTAAAAGCTCATCAGGTACACTGTTAAGAGATTGGTAAGTTTGGAGATGAAGCATGCAGAAATAGCGGGTACATTGGTTTGTGTAAATTGAAACAGGCTTCTAATTGTTAGAAAAGATGTTTAAAGAAAAGAAAATTAATATAAATTAAGCCAGAATGTCTGGGAAGGCTTCAAATTAAAAAGACTCATAAATATTTTGTTGTGTTGTTGTTACAAAACATAAATGTTTTTTGTAGCTTTTAAAATGTGTAATTATCCTAATATCGTTTAAGAATCAATGTCATAAATTATATACATTTTAATCTGTGAAATGTTGTTAGATTGTGATTTAATAGTACTTTTTGAACAAATGTTTTAAAAAATAAACAAAATTTAATAGTAATCATGTAAATCTATAACAACTAAGGGTATAACTACCTAATTTAATTATTTGCAACTAACTGGTCATCTTTAAAAGTTATCTCTGCATATTAAAGCAAGTTATTGCCTTTCATTAATCCTTACAGTCAGAATATCAGCACAAAAATTTTAAAAAGTAATTAATTAATTAAAACTTATTCTTTCCATCTGGTGAGACTTAAAATAATACAAAACAACTTATCACCTTCAGTGCATTAGTGGCTTATTGGAACCTCAAAATATATTAACTGGATTACAATCCCAGAAACTACACGAAGCTACGAAACTGCGTCAGACAGGTGGAGCACAACTAACTTTAAAAACTTGCCAACCATGCATACATCAGGCTTTTAGGTTTGTTCTGATCAACAGGTCTCTCTCTCTAGGCAAACCAGTCTTCTGTTACGAATCATGCTGATTATGATTTTATTTTTCATTTTTAAACTAAACCTCTAGACTAAGTATGTGGCAAAATGAGATATAAAAGAAAAAATCAGCATAAAGCTAACTTAGTGAAATAAATAAAATTTCTCTAATCTTCTTTCAAATATGTCCAACTGTTATACGTGTAAAATATTTAATGCTACTTGATAAAATTTGATTTTATTTTCAAATTTGTTCTGTAGTTATGTTTTATTAAATTATTTTTAATAAGAATGTATCCTACTAATGGCTCTATTTTATTCTTAGAGTGTTATTACAAAAGTGAATTTCAGGCATAAGTTGATTGACTTTAACTGAAATTATATTCAGCTTTTATTTGCTGATAAGTCCTGAATTTTTTTTCATTAAAAGTACTTAATTTCTGTGTGCAGAAATGTGTACGAACCTTGTAAATGAATGCTAATGTAGAACAGCTTCATGAGCTGATTTAATTGACACTATGCCAGATAATATTACAGTGAGGGAAAGTTGATTTTTTGCAGCTAATCTTGCAAGAAATATAATTGGTAAAATCTAATCTTCCTCTCTCTCTCTCTCTCTTTATTTACTTTTTTAAGGAGTTGTTTGAAAGAAAAAAGTAATCTATTTTCTAAAATTTTTCATTATTTATTAATGAGCATTTCTCACGTAATATCAAAACTATGTAAATTGGTATTTGATTTAATTTAATTCTTTGAAACTGATAAAATTAACTATAGTTCAGAAATGAATTTTTTTTTTTTTTTTTTTTAAATTCTTAAGTGTTTAGAGGCAAGGAAGCAGAAATCTGTCATTCAGTTAAAATCAAAATATTTAGTGCATTAAAACTGTTGTGTTACAGATGACATTCAGAAATTATTCAGGTTTATTTTATTCTTTTCATGAAATGCAAGGGGTTTTTTGTTTCTTTAAAAGATAAAAACAACTACATCAGCTTTTGCTTTTGAAAGTAACTTTACTTTTTAAGCTTACTCTATATTTGATTGTAGCTAGTGCTCTGAAGCTGTTCATCTCTAACTTGCATTAACTTTTACTATAGATGAATATATCTCTAGTTATTGAGTACTGGTATTAAAATATCTATTTTCTAATTTTCAGAGTATAGAAAACTTTGGTGAAGGTAAGTACTTTTTTTTTTTTTTTTTTTTCTATTTAATATATTTATAATTTGACTTTTTGAGCCTTGTTTATGTAATACTGCATCAAATGCAAGAAAATATATCTTTAAATTATTTTGCAAAACTGATCAAATATTAAACTTCTTAAATGAAAGGAGGCTTTCTTGGAGAGCATTTAAAAATAATAATTTAATTCATGTTAGAGGGAATGCTATTTTCTATATTTTATTATCCTAAAATATATGTATATGGAAGAAAAATAAAGAATATGTAAATGATTAAATTATCAGTACTGATATTTTTTCTTAATAAATTGAACATTAAAAATGTAATACTATGATATGAAAAAATACAATTTAATGATATTAGAAATTTGAATTCTAATAATTTAGTAAAGTAAGTAAAGAATTCTTAGATGTTTAATTATTTTTAGGGAAGGCTATTAAGATAAGTTTTTATATTTTTGAAATTTTGTTTAAAATTTTGAATACGAATTTTATAATTATTCTAAAAAGAAGTAGATGTAAAAAATAAGTGAAATTAGTATAGATAAGTAATATGAAATTATGGTAAGTGCATGTTAAAATTTATGGGTGATTGTGTGTTACGTATAGAGTAAGTTGAGTACTGGTTCCTAATCAAAGGCCTGTAATTACCTTCGTACAGTTGTTCCTTTTACTCTCTTCATGTAAGATTATGTTGGAGGCTCTCATTTTATGAGCGTGTAATTTTTTTAATATTATTATATATATTATATATATATATTTATTGTGGAATGTATTAGTGCAGTTCTCAAAGGCCAGTTACCTTATGTAAGGAGTAAGGAATGGAGGCCTTTTCAAGTAACTGCCTAGACATCCTGAGCCACCAGTGCAGAGAACACACTGGTTAGCTCAAGAGGACAGCCGTATTGATGGATGTTTGTTTAGAAGTATTGCGAGGCCTTCCAGTTTGGTAAAATCGGGCATTGTAAATGAAAGATAATAACGGTGAAACCATAATTTCTGAAACTGTTATTCCTATTACATTTATGGTGTTAAAATATAATTTATCAGTATGGAAATTAGTATCATAAACATTTATGTGTGTTACATTTAAGTAATGATTATGTAAAAGTTTTATTTTGTGATACTCTGTGATAACAAGAACATTCCCTGAAGAATTATGATTATGTGAACTCTCAAACAAAAAGACTTTTGTACTGAAATGTTGAAAAATTCAATAGGACTCTAAAATTTAAAATTTATTTTAGAAAATTGATGTTTATAAATTATACTTTTACAGGATAACGATTTTATGATTTATGTTTTTTATTATTATTTTTATTTGCTAGTGCTTTAATGCTTTTCTTTAAAAAGGCTTCTCTGTCACTACACCTTTTTCTTCTTGAAGGGGGGAATATGTAAGAAAAATAAAGAATATGTAAAAAGATTAAATTATCAGCATAAATTAATTTCCCTTCTCTCTATTCTAAAAATAGCAACACCTATTTGGAGGCGTCATTTTGAGAAAAATCTGTCATATGACTTTTACGTAATTCTAGTGATGTAAAATAATTTTACAGCAATATTAACCATCCAATCAAAATGCTTTGAGAACCAAAACTAACTCAGTTTGACTTAAGATTTCGTCCTGAACATTATGCACTTGCTTTCTATGCTTTGCCTTAGCTCGACTGTAGTCTGTCTGCTCCTTCTTTTTTGCTGCAAATCTATCAAAAATCTCCTGCAAATCTCCTGAATATATGTAATATATGCATAATGTTTTCATAGAAATTTTAAATCATTTACATATAAAAGGTACTAAATTTGCATTTAAAAAATATATAAGGTCTGATAAAAACTATGCAACAATTTTTCTTCTCACCTTTTAAACCTGTTAGAATTTAGTGCAACTAGATATTACACATAGAAATTTTCGTGTCATCAGCTTGTCTCATTTATAAGATTTATATGAATTAACATGGTATTTCTTAAAATGAATCTGTCTAGTACTTCTACTGTTTCATCTACTCTACCAAAAAATAAAGTGATTTTAAATAGTGACAGAGTCATAAATTAAAAGAGAACTCTAGTAACTTCAGCCTTGCACATGTTGATTCTGTTTTTAAATATTGAACTACTACTGTATTAGTGAGGCTGCAAGTAGCAGGATTTTAGTTTGTTTTTTCCTTTATTTATAAACTTCAAGTTAAAATAACACATATTTGATTGTGTTTACATGTGTGTTGTTAACAGTTGAGTGTTTTAGTTTCCAAGATTAAGACATGATGATAAAGTTATCCATCAGTCTTGTAAGATTATTTAAAAAACAAGTAGAATTTAATCTTACATATCTATTATAGAACAATATAAGTTTATATAAATAACGTTTGCTGCAATTCGTGCTATAGCATTACAGAGAGGAGAGCTTCGTTATTGCATCACAATTTTTTCAAGGTGTAAACATCTTGTAACCTTCTTTTCTTATAACAAACCTCTCAAGAAGACTTTTCACGTGATGGATTTTAAGGTCCATATGCCTCAAAGACATTACAAGTACAGTAAGACCCTGCTTAATGTGGGGTATGCATTCCATCAAAGCAGAGTGTAATATAAAACAGCGTTAAATGAGGTTATCTCATCATGTAAGTAATGGGGTTAGGGGAAGATGGATAGAAAATTGGTCAGGTATTTTACCATTAAATTTATTAAATGTTTTAAACAAAAATTTATTTCTTACAAATATAGAAACATAATAAACAAATATACATATAAAAATAAATAACATTCGTAATCAGTATGTTTACATTTCAGATCATTCAGTCTGTTCTGTATTTCCAATTTTGTGCCTTTCTAGCAAGAAGGTATCTAATAACTTGCGTTTTCCTTTTGCTCTCTGTAAGAAGTTGTTGGTAAGTGGATAAGGCATCCGTAACACTCCATCTTGCCTTTGAACTCCTGTCAAAATTTGCGTCATTTTCAATAAATTGGTCCATAATTTCTATTATAGTGGCCAAACTGCTTTTTAGAAACTCTGCTGAAAGTTCTTTTTGCTCTTTTTCAGAATCACTACTTTCTACATTTTTGTGTTCTTCTTGGTCCACTAATACCTTGAGCTCATCATTAGAAAGACTTGCTTATCTAAACCGGTTTGTTTCGCTACTTCCACTATTTCATTCGTACCGACAGAGTCTCCAGTGTCATCGCCCTTGCTTAGATCTGACCAAATGTTCTTCCACACTCCTTTCAAACATTTTTCTGTTACCTCATTCCAAGAAAGGTTTATGTTTTGTACAGCATTAATGATTGTTAGTTTTCCCAAAACTCTTATTGATTGTTTCTTTTCTCCGTGTTTGTCGCAAGTAATAAGCCTTAAAGTTTGATATAACGCCTTGATCCATTGGTTAAGGCAATTGTGTTAAGTAGCAAGAAAACCACTTCGACTGGAATGCATGTTATTAAGTCAGATAAATTCGTTGGATGGCTTGGAGCCTTATCGATTAAAAGTAGTGCTCTTGATTCAAGTTTTTTAATTTCACAATAGTGTTTAACAGACGAGCAAAAATATTCAGTGAACCAATTCTGGAAATTTTTCATAGTTATCCATGATTTTTTTATTAGACTCCCAAATTACAGGTAAAGTTTGATTTGGATATTCCTTTCATCGCTCTTGGGTTTTTGGAATGGTACACAAGTAGTGGTTGTAATTTGAAATCTCCGCTTGCATTACTATCCAGTAGAAGTGTAAAGCGATCTTTAGCAGCTTTAAATCCTGATGCATGTTTTTCTTCATGGGATAGAAATGTTCGTTTTGGTATTCTTTTCCAAAATAGGCCTGTTTCATCAACATTAAAAACCAATTCTGGAGGATAGTTTCCTCATTCAATTATTGTTTTCAATGTGGCTGAAAATTCAGCCGCTGCTTCTGTATACCACTTACTGTTTCTCCTGTAATCCATATGTTATGAAGATTATTTCGATGTTTAAATCTATTAAACCATCCTCCACTTGCAACGAAAGTTTCACTTGCCTCAACCTGAATGTAATTAAAAATTCTTCTTGCTTAAGAATAGTCCTTATTGTTGAAGTTTCCGAATTCAATGCAGCACCAATTTGAGATTGACGTTCACCAGTATCTAATCTTCTAATCACTTGCATTTTAGTTTCTAGTGAAATGCTTTTTCTTGTTGCTTTATTTTTGTGTTTTTTACTATCACCCATGATAAAACTTAAAAATCATAATATTTGTCACTATATCAATCGTTATATAAATTTATACTTACAATAATGTCAACAAATGTTTGAAATGATAAAATTACGTTCGTATATCGCTGCATGCAATTTCGGGGAATCCCACAATTCAAATAAAAGAGCGTTAAGCGGGGTCTTACTGTGTGTGTGTGTGTGTGTATATATATATATATATATAGCGGGCAGAAATTTTGATCTAACAATTCCTAGGAGTGCAAAGTAAGGAAGTGCTATAAGTTACCAGAACAGAGCAACCAGCGACGATCTGACATAAAGAGGAATATGGAAGTGATGTGTGTCATAGTGACTAAAAACTGATATTTAGTGACTAATGCTAAAAATTTAAAATGAATTGTGCTCCGTTTATGTATAGATGGAGGTGAATTTTAAGATTTGAGATCTGCCAAACAGCAGAATTTGTGCCTAGTGGCATTAGTGCAAGACCTCTGACCAAGTGGCATCAAGACCTCTGCCTCTGATGAGTTTTCTTCTTAACTAAACAGTATCTGGACTTATAAAAAAAGATAAATAACTAGCAGTGAGTATTAATAGCTAGTTTTCCATTGCGGTAACTGAAATGCAATTTGAGGTTACTACAGTTCAAAGTACTGATGTCAAATAATATTGTGTATGGTTTGGAACAAGGTAAAAGTCATTGATACGTTTCTCCCTTGCAATAGGTAGTATGCTACTCATTGTGAATTTGCATGGTGTAACACATCATGCATCATAAGGGATAAAGTTTATAGAAGAAGAATAGGTAGCTTCATCGTGATTTGATTATTCTCTGAGTGCACTCGTCTCATCAATAATTTTATAGTTGGCTGAGTCTACATTTGATACAGATTTTCAAAATTTTTGTTGATTGCTTAAGCTAAAAATTGATATTTCACTAAAGGTATAACAGTAAATTGTGATGAAGTAGTTACTATTAATTTGAAGAACTGAAAATTTTTACTAACATTATAGAGACTGACTAGATTGAGTGTCATATTTTGTTTCTTGGATTATGTTATATTATTTATGCTACATTTTAATTATATTGTGTCTTCTGTTTTCAAATTTCTTAAATATTTATCCAAAAATAAAACAATTGAATTTTTTAGATGACGAGTAAATTGAATTACTGTTAATCATTGTAAGAGGCATTTGAATATGCAAAAAATCATATTCCTGAATTTTCTAGAAAATCATTTTTGTATTGTGTTTCTCTTTCATATGATTGTATTCTTGCTCATAAGATATTTGCAAAGAGAAATGTTATTGTATAAGGCTAAAAAGTATTTATTAAGTGTCAGTTGTTTTTTAAATCCTTCCCCTTTATTTAATCATAGTTCATCCTGTAAAGAATGTCTATAGTCAGCGTTCGCATTCTGCTCTTGGCAATAGTGATGCATCTCACAATAATCCTGAACCTAGTCCTTCTTCGTCTATTGTAAATGAAGAAATCAGTTCACTAGTTGACAAAAATGGTAAGTACATTTAATATCTGCCAAGACAATCTGTAAATTCAGTCTTGATTCACATGTAATAAATCAACAAATTCATGAAAGAAATTACTGAAAGATCGCTAATTTATTCTGACTTCCATTCTTGTTTGCAATGCAAAATGGCTACATTTTTAATATGTTAAAAGAAATGTAAATGTAATCTGCTGTAAAATATACATATATCAAGGTTGCCATGCTACCTGAAAACCTGGGAAAAGTCAGGGAATTCGAAAATTGACTAAAAAAGTCAGAGAATTTAAATACTTTAGTCAAAATCTGAAAAAGTCAGGAAATTTCATATGGCAATCCCCCAAAAAGGCAATTTTTACACCAACATTGGAAGCAATTACTTTCTTGACGAAATTATCTATTGCATCAACGTCGTTGGGGCAGCTGGCGTAGAGCTAATTTTCGCAGCTCCAATTGGATTGTCTTTTAGAAAGGATAAGTCATGTTTAATTTGCAAATTTTTGCATTTTTAAGTGGTACCATAATTAATTTACCTCTTAGCCCTGCCAACGTGCACTACATGGATAGACTGGAATTTTCTTAAAACACACCTGGTAAAATATGGAATTTCATTCTCCTGTTAGAATGGCAACCCTGATATATGTGATATTGCATAGCTTGCACAGAAGTATGTCAACTTGGATAAAAACAGCACCTTTAAGTAATTCCCCCCTGTGTTCCAGCAATCAGGAGCTCAAATCACTTTTTGTGGGGGGAAGAGGCATTTTATAGGCTCAGGAAATCGCAACGTGAAGAACGAAATACCAAAGAAAGGAGAAATACTTACCAAATCGGTAGACCAAGGCATAATACGCATTATTAATTGCCACTATAAATCGGAGTTCTGTGAAATTCTAAAAAAAATTCTTTCAAAAGAAATTCAGTTTTCTATTTCAGTTTGTAATTATATATATATAATTAAAAAAAAAAAAATCAGACTACATCCATTTGTTAGTCGAATCATGGAATTCTGTTTCCCAAACAACACTAATAAATGGCTTGTGTAATATATGGCCATCTTCTCTGTTAAGTGAAACTGAGAACGATGAAAGTACGATGAAACTGCTTCTGTATTCGACAAAGTAGAAAAGCAGAGGCTTTGAAAGAAGAAGAAATCATTGAATGGATGATGTGTCCAGATGAGCCAACACTGGCGATCAGATGACCGATGATAAAATTATTGGCTCTGTTCTGAACTCAGCACAGTGGGAAATTGATTCCACCATTCTAATCATTTTATAGCACTCTTCCATATTTTCAAATCTTTGAATATCAGAGATCTGTTTTTTAATTTTTATATTTTAGACAATGTGCAAATAAATAAGAGTTCCATATTTTTTAATTATTAATGAGTAATTCTCTTTCTAATTAGATGTTGCCAATATATCTGACACTGTTGAAGATGAAACTCCCACAGCAGAAAAAGTAAGTTCTTTTAATAAATCACTGCCTCATTGTATTATATTTATATTGTATTGATAAAATTATCCCCTCTTAAAACAATGAATAAATATTTTATATATTGTGATATTGCAGAGAGCAATCAAAAAATGCAATTTGAAATTTTTAATGATACTTCATTTATGTACATTGGATTCTTCAATGTTAGCAACATAACTGTTATGCATAGTTCAACATATTAAAATTGCAGTAGATTATGTAATTGTTTCATTGTAATTGGATTATTAATTTGTTTTGCTCATTGCCGCCATAATGCATTAGTAATTTCAATTTAAATTAATTTACATAGTTAATAATATATTGCATATAACACCATAATTTTTAATTGGAATGTGAACTAAGTGATTCCAAAGTTTAAATAAAAAGGAAAAATCCAAAATTTTTATTTGAAAAAACATTTTATGAAATTAGGTATTGTCCATTTTTGTCGATTTTTTGCCATCTTTCAGGCAGTGTCCTAATTCCACCTGTATAAAACTTCCGATTTTTGTAAGCAAAAAACTGAATGAAATGAGATTTTACATCATCAGCACATTGAAAATTTTGCCATTTAAGGAGCTGCATAGAACAAAATAAATGGAAACCTGTGTAACGTCATGTCCAACTTAGCTCCAATATTTTTTAACAAGTGAACAAAAATGCATGAGGCTTTGCATTATAATGTTATAAAACAACACCATTATGATTTGCCAATTCTGACCGCTTTTCTTGAAATGCATTGCTCGGTTTGGTTAGTTGGTGAACATAGATGTTTGAGCTAACCGTTTGGTCTCTTGGTAAAAAATCAAAGTGGAGCATTCATTTATAATCCCCTCAATATGAGAGTGTTTTTTTTTTTTTTTTTTTTTTTTTTTTTTTTGTGTGTGTGTGTGTGGTGTGTGTGGTCTCTGAAACCTTTTTTTTAAAGGGTGACTAGGGTTTTAGGGGACCTAGTCACGAAATCCTGGATGCAGAGAATCATTCTCCACAACCCTTTTAGTTCAGGTGCCACTTGTAGAGTCATTAGGTTAATTGGAAGCGGGAAAGGTGAAAAATATGCAACCGCCTTCTCCTGGAATCAAACCACGGACCTCTGAAATACCGGCTCAGTGTGCTGACCACTACACCACGAAGGCATGCTAGAGAAGTGGGAGAAATACCTTATAGACTCAAATTACGCCAAACTACCAAGTTTCGTAAAAATTGCACCGGTAGTTTTTTAAAAATTAGCTCTCAAAATTTTAGCTCCTCAATGTTATTGAATTTAGTATATATTTATTAAACTTATTTAATTCTTCCTCTCCCATTTTGAAATTTAGGTTCATTCCAAGTAAAATTCACCCATTTTTTATGATTTATTTTTTTAATTTGTATTTTTAAATGATTTTTACAAATTTAAATTTTTTTTTTTTTTTTTTTAAATATAATGTATAAAATTTTTACCATCATCTTAAAGTAGATGTATTTCTAAGCATATGTGTAAAAAATTACAGTTTTTTATTCAAAATTTCCGAAGATATATGTAAATTTATACATCGGTGCATTTTGCAATTTGCCACATTTGTTGAAAGCGGTAAAACATCAAATGTGTTTTAAACACTTTAGTAAAATTATTTGAAAGTAGTAACGATGTGACTTTTTTCCGCTTATGCACAATGTAAAAAGGTAGGAACAAGGTGCCTTTTTTTTCTGTTCCGGCATAATGGAAGGGAAAGGAAAATTTGTTGCTATATATTAAGAAGTTCGCTATGTGAATTATTCTCGGCATAAACTGAAAAAATTGTAGCAAGATAATTAAATAGATTAATTAAATAAAGCAATAACGGAAATAAAATGCTCAAGTATGCCTCTCTGTGTAAGGAATTCTTCCTTTTTTATGTCGTGATCATAATTTAATTGACATACATTTTTCATTTAGAAGTGTCAGTGGACTAAAGAAGGCAGAGCTAGAATATAATATTGTTAAAATATCATTTCTTTAATATTCTCTCCAATTTAACTTTTTCATGTCAATTTCAGAATCTTGTGTTTCTTAACCACAGCAATGACTGAGTAGGGATTGACTGCTTTAGTTTTCTATAGTTTACTCTATATGTAACAAAGTTTATGTCATGTTCACGCATCATTGATGTGAACATGAGCCAGTGTCCCTCTTGTAATATGAATATAAACTAGTTCCTAGTGTATTAGCCTTTTGTGGAGTGTAATCATTTATGAAAGCTTTGATCCTCATAAGCAGACAATTGTTGTGAACTCTGCTACAATCCAATGAATTATAATTCTTCTCTCCGCTCTAGTGATCCATGTAACTAGTCCCTCTAAAATGTTTTGCATGATAAATGTCACCCCTTTCACTTATGCCGCTGTGAGTAGTCATACTGTAATTGTTAAGTAAATGTAATTGCTGTTACATTATAACTGCAGTTGTGGCTGCATATAACTATAGTTTTAACAACAAAGTAATTATTCACATTAATTAATAAAAGATTTGGATTGCTTAAATTTGAACAATAAAAATCTGCTGTTTTGCTGACTGGCAAATATTCTTAGAATTCAAGGAACATGGAAGATAGAATAAAGTTTAATGTTCCTTACAGCAACAACACTTGCCAAAAACTGATTTTAGGTTATTTCTCTTCTTCTTTGTGAATTTCGAAAGCATTGATCATATCTGATTGATCATGCAGATTTTATATTTCTAAAGACATAATAAGTTAGTTGTACTGATAAAATTATAATTTTAATATAATTACAGTTAATACAATAACAATATAATTACACTACTATCCATTGAAAATACAACACAATAAAATATATATATATCAATACAATATTTAGCAAACAAATAATGTAAGGTATAACGGTCAAATGGAAGAAGAAAGCAGTCTTTTATGTAGCCACCAAATGTGACTTACCTTGTCATTGAAAGAACATGGATATATGCTTTGGAGTATGTCTGCCCATGCTTAACAGCATGGGCAGACATACTCCAAAGCATATACATGTTGCCAAAATTCTTTTCATCTATCTACTGGTAATCTAATTTGGGTAACAGTTATCAACCATGCATTCGATGGCCGACCTGTTGGTAGAATAAACAGGCCAAAGAAGCAGTGGTGCATGCTATATGACATTCTCCTGTTAAAATTTAAACACATACAGATCTTGGACGTAAGGAAACAATAGATTTCGAAAATTCGAAGATATAACTCTGCTTGTATGCATTACTATTACTCCAAGTGACAGACTGTTGTGACAATGCACAATTCAGATATGGTCATTGTGGAGTTATGTATGTAATGCTTGTTCTCTCTTTTGCCAGGTACCAAATGGTACATTCATTCCCTTTCATAGATTTTCCAAAAGATAAATCTGCACAATTTTCCCTTTGTCAAATTAACAAAGTTATTTAAATGGCTTTACTTTTTATTAATTTTTTAAGAACTGTACTGGACAAATTATATGCTAATCATTTGCATGACCTTCAAGGTTTATGCTTCATGGAAATTTCAAGCTTAAATAGGCTGTCTGTAATTAGATGGAATTACAAAACAATTTAATTAGTTATAATGTAACTGATTAATAGTTGAATTATGATGAATTTCACTATATTACTTCATGATAAAGATTGATTAGGGACTCAGATTTTAGACAAATTTAATCTTTACATTTTATAATTTGTTATACTAATACAAGTATAAAATGTGAAACTCTATCCATTTGTCAAGTAACGGTATACATTTTATTCTGTGTCCAAGTAAATTCCATAAGTAGAATAGCTGTAGATATGCAAGTATGTATTAATATTAATTTGCATATTGTGAAGAGAATTTGGGTAACTTTTATTAACATAAGTAATAGTTCTTCCTTATGAACAAGAAATTACTTGATATCGAATGTAATTTAAGTAGTAGTATTTAATATTCTATTTGACTGGAAGATAAGCTCTTCTATATAAAATTTAAAATTAGGCACAAAAGCACCCTTAGGTTGTCGTAGATTTTTACAGACATTTGAACTTAGGTCCCTCTTCTTCAGGAGCAATTTTTTTTCTTTCTTTCTTTCTTTTTTCAAGAGGTGAGAAGAATGACTATTTTATATGGCAAGCATCAGGTGGAAGAGAGTGAAAATAACCATAGTGCCATCTGGTAAGGAAAATGGTAGTTAAGCATAAGAATACTAAGACATTGGAATTTTGAAAGCACTGAGAAGAACTGCTTCTCTTAATCTTCCCAGTTTGTTATTGGTCAAAATAAATGAGCATTAAAATTTCATGTAAAGAATTTATGTTCAAAAAGGTGAATTCCATGCACTTGTACATTTTCAAGTTTAATTTGACATCTTATTCTTACATTGCAAGAATTATTTTTATTCCTAAATGAAAAGCATATGTCAGTGACAGTGAAGAAAAATAGAAATAAAGTAAATTAATAATATTAAATAAAAAAATAATAAATGCATTGAAATTTAATAATTCTGTATTGTACTGGAATTCTTATTTAAGCTTTTTTTAACAGAGCACTGTACCTCAATTCAGGAATCAGCCTAGTGAGAATCGAACCCGTGTCTATTCCAACACACGTTACGCCTACGCAAGGCATCCTAGTAATCGAGGCCAAGGCTTTTTCCGGGGCAACAGAGGAGGAGGTTATCAACAACGACCCTATAATAGGAATTTCACGTACAATAGGAACAACTCGTACAATAATTATGATATGTCAGGAGATTATCGTAATCATCCTCATCAAGAACGAGATGGTCCTTCATACCCTAATGATAGAAACTTCAATAATAATTCTAGAGATAACAGAAATGATCGAAGCAAAGGGCGAGGACAGCGTAGACCTGGAAATGGTGGACGTTATCGTGGAAATATGGCCCAGAGACAGAATATGGACAACGTACCTAAAACTGAACCTTCCTCAACTGATGCTAATGCCCCAGTGGACATTGATAAATCTAAAATTGTGAATGGTTGGGAAAATTAATCTGTATTTAAATTTATAGGTATTTGTTATTTACTAACGTCTGCCATCAGTCATAATTTTTTTTAAAGTATGGTTATGGTTTCACACACCCAAGTTGGTAATACTATGCATGGATTCTAATTTCATTCGGAAAATCTTAGTTCCAACACTTGTTCAAAATTTTTTGTATGTGTTAAAGTAATTTTTTTTTTAATAATAGCAGTTCACAATTTAAGTAGTAAAACTTTTTTTTATTCATTGTTATCGTGAAAAAATGCTGTATTTGCATTAATTTAAAATTAGTTTTCCATGAATTCCGATGAGATAGGTTTAAAACATTCATTGCAAATTCTTTCTTTAAAAAAATTAAGTGTTTGAATTTTTAATAAATTAGTTTGCATTAAATCATTGAATCGAACGTTGCTAATGTTTTGTTTATATATCTGTATCTGTGTTTTACATGTAGATAGATTTTTATTTTTTAGAGATAAAGCAATTTTTTATGTCTTTTTTGAGATGAATATGTAAAAATGAAGACATAATGTTGTATCATGTCTATATTTTTCATTTTTGGTAGCTCTTTAAATGAGAAAAGCTTTCTCAAAATGAAAAAGGCACAAATTTTAAATGTAGAAGGAACTATTGATTTCTTCATTTAAAGAAAATTCAAATTTAATAATATTAATTTTGAGCAGTGTGACTGGAATTTAGATGTTCCTTCAATTCAAAGTGCCAAAGGCCAAAGTGGCTTTTATTTGGAACTTGTGTAATAAAAGTTTCAATGTGTGCCTTATTATATATGCATTGTTCTTCACGGATGCACAATTTTGAAAGTTATGTTCCTGTCTTATCCTTTGAACTTTACAACTCTCTTTAAATCTTCTTGGAACCCTGAGCTGAAAAGTATTTGAATGAAGATTCATCTGAGTGTGTTATTTTAAGTCTTCAGATTTCAAAGCAATACTTTCTTTGATGTTAATATATCAGACTATTAGATAAAATTACTCAGAACCACAACTGAGCTTTTCAGAGCCAGTGTTTCTGAAACATATATTCTTCAAATGAGATTCTGCAGCTGCTTTCCTCTCCTCTTGGTTTTCTCATTTCCTTTTTCCTCCTTCCAAATGGTCTTTTGATAATTATCCACTTCCATTTTTCTTTGATTCTGTTTTTTTATTGTTTCAGTAAATATATTATATATAATATATATATCAAGTGGGCAGGTCCCCTCTTATTGTATTTAGTGTATATTGTGCCTTCGAATCAAAGAGCTCTCCAATGTGTTGCTAAGTCACTCTGAGGCAATATTAAAAGTGAACTTTGCAATGTTACGTGTAGTTGCCCAATTGAATCTGGAATTAAAAAGATGCAGCTCTTCACATTTGATTGTTAAACCTTTGTTGATTATGTATCCTTATATATGATTTGTTGTTTATTATCAAAATGTATATATTTTACTTTTTAGCTGTGCAATATAGGCCAGTTGTGTGCTTAGTATTTGCAGCCTTTAAGTATGGGACCATTATTTTTACACCCTTGGCATGTTTCTTCTCCTTGTAATCGCATCTAGTAGCATAATAAAAATTGCTTTTTCGGCTAGCTTGCGTAGAGGTTTCTTGCCTTTCCCAAATTTCATTGCTTGTGTGTGACTTCTGTACCATACATTTAGTATTTGTGTATATATGACTGTACATATATAGAGAGTACTTGTGCTTGTTAATAAAACATTTTGCATACCTTGACAATTTTGTGTAATGATCTTTTCTGTACGAGTGGTAAAATTTCAGATAATTATTTGAAAGTTAAAGCTAAGTAAAATAACTTTAAATTCGTTGTTGTCAGCCAAATTTATTTAGTGCAATTGTTGTGTTTTAACAGCAAATAGGATAGATATATGTTTTTTAGAGTGGATTATTATTATGGTTCTAAATGTGACCCAAAAATTGCAACATTTCATAGAAAATGGCTTTCAAATTTTCACAGGATTTTTCTGGTGAAGATTTATTAATCACCTTAAGGCAGACTTCAGGCAACTGTGAACCTGATGGTTGAATATGGGTCTTTGCTGTGGGCAACCTTCACATTAAAACAGTAATATTTGAAACTACATGTAGTCATTTTAAAAGGGAATAGTTTTTAAATTTTCATTCACAATTTTAAATTGTAAATGATGAAAATCTAGATAATATAATAATAATGTCAGGGTCGTCGGGTTTCTCCTACAGTTGGGGGAGGGGACATAAGAAATTGGTTTCTTCCACTGAAATGGAAAAAAACTATTTTTGAACTTTTTTAATTCATATGTAGCACCGTTATGTTGGTGCAAAGTGCTTTCATTTTCTATAAAGGTTAATTATCTTTATTTGCATAATTGCAGTAAATTTTTGTATGTATATGTATGTATATACTAAAAGCTTAAAAAATTTAATGAATTCAGATGAAACCTTGCATTAAACAGTGCACTGAAAGCTGCAGTAATTTTACTAGCAATGATAATATAAATAAAATGAAAAAAGTTATAATCATGTCAGAAAAGCAAGAACTTAGCCACTTAAAGTAATGTAAATAATATGTTATCAGTAGCATAAGTAGAATTCTTGAGCCCTTCCCTAATCATTTCCAATGCTAGGGGAAAATGTAAAGGGGAGGGAGAGTCCAATGTGCTGTTTAGTAATTTAGCAAGGTTGAATGCACACAACAATTTATGTTGTTGCAAGTATTATGCTGGCTTGAGCTTAGGGCTTTAGATGGTCTTGATCAAGCTTTGATTTTGGGATTAATTTTTACAAGATTTTCTTTCATCTGGGTATATATTGATGACAAATACATAAATATTATATATAAGAAAACAAATATTTTATATGAAACTGTATTTTCATATGGAATCTGCACCAAACTAAAATTCTTATTAATGTTAGCAAATAAATAAATAGCTAAGTTGCTGAAAGACAAAACAACAGGTAAACATGCCAAAAGAAATTATGCTAATGCATAATGATTTATTTAGCATAACGATTTTTAGAATCTGTCAGAAATTTACGAAAAACAAATATGACCATTTCTGTAGAAGTTCATTTTCTTTTCTCTTTAATTTCATTTAATACTTAACTTTTTTCTAGCTTGTCTAATTTTTTTCTTACTAAGCATACAGCAGATTAAATGTTTTTGTGTATTATTATTCGATTCATTTAATTTAGAGGCCCACCAGCGACCAAGCGGTAAAGTCGCTGAACGCTGGTAGCTTGGTCCGAGGTTCGAATCCCGCGAATGGGCTGGCTGCATGGGTGTTTTCATTGTTTCCCCATGTGTAACATGTATAAGAGCCAGTTTCCCTTAGAAAGTCCTCCACGAAGGCATCTTCCCCCTTAGACAGATAGCCCCCGAGGCTTTGTCATAATTAAATAACCTAACCTAACCATTTAATTTAGAGACCACTAATAACATGACAGTCAATGGGTAAGTAGTAAAACTACTGAAAATTCCTAGTTTCTTCTTTGGCTCGAATCTTCGAAACAAACACATTTGACTATAACGGCACTGTTCTCTTCATACGTAGAAAAGATCACACGATTTTTTTTCTTTTAAAAGTTCAGACTACTATAAGTAGATTGAATATCAATTTTCAGTAATTAGAAAATTTCATCACAAGATTTGGAAAGAAGGAAAATTTATTTTGTTTACTATGTGTAATAAAAAAGGGCTTCCGAAAAAGTCTGTTCAAACTCATTTATTGATATTAATGTATACATCCAGTTATAAATTTCTCAAAAAGAGATGGTACTATAAATAGAGCTTATGTTGAAATTTTGATGTGATCGTCATGCAGCAAAATTCCAATTAATAAAGTACTCATTGTAATGTTTCATATTGTTACTAGTTAAGTTAGAAGAGCTTTAATGATTTACACATGAGAAGAATCAAAGTTTTTTTCACCACTGTTGACAAAACACTCGTGGGAAATTAACTAATTAAAAACATTTTGGAGCTTTACAAGCAAAATTCGGTTCTTTACTACTTACTCAGTAGTTTTGCTAATGGTTTTAACATGTTTTAGATTTCGGAATGATTTTTCACATAAAATTCCTAGTTTGTAAGAGACTACTTCAATTTTTTTAGCTGTCTTGGCAAAGTAAAACACATGTCTGAATCTAGTTATATCCCAAAATGGAAAGAGGTGTGCTACTCCCAAAGGGCTCTCTCATTCTCATGCTGTTGGTGTTACTAATGATAGTACATTTGTATACAGTTTTATGTGGATAGAAGTCATTCCCTTCCCTGGCAAGTTTTTGTGTAATTCCATACCTGCCAACTTTTACGAATTTTTCGTAATTTTTACGAAAATGCGTTTGTTTTTACGATTTTACGATCGTAATCCATTTTTTACGATTTTTTTCCTTTTTCAAGTGTTTTTAGTGATTTTGTCAAAGTTTTAGAATTTTTCGCCAATTGCATCGTGTTTTACTGCCAACTACCGGCTACTTCGAATCCAGTAACCTGCTGTTTCTCCGAACTCGCCGCTTAACCAGCCAATCCAATGCGCTGAACTTGTTTCTCCCACTCTTTTCTTTGTGGGCGCCAGATTATTTTTTTTAACGTTGATTGTCGCATTCTGTTTTTTTTTTTTTCCCACGTGCTACGAATTTTCTTGATGCGTCGTTGTTACGAAATGAGTTAAAAAAAAAAAAAAAAAAAAAAAAACGTATTCTCAATATTTTTGGCCTGCCTACAAAGCCGAATTTCCAACAATTAAAGAATCCTTCAAAGGAAAATAACTATGCATTTTGCAACGTGTGCGTGTGTGACTTCATAATAAGTCACGGTGGAAGAAGCAACATTGTGAAGCATGTTAAGTCTAAAAAGCATGAAGTTAATGCTTCGGCTTCGAAAACGTCAAAGAAAGTGGATGATTTTTTTTCAAATTCGGCTACGAATTCGGATGCCGATGTCATTTTGGCAGAGTGTTTGTTTACTGCATTCCTCATCGAACACAATGTGCCGCTAAGCGCTGCCGATCACGCCGGTCAACTTTTCAGACGGATGTTTCCCGACTCCAAGATTGCTCAGAAATATGCTTGTGCTCGCACGAAAACATCTTCTATTGTGAACGAAATTGCTTGCGATGCACAAAGTAAAACGATAGCTGCACTCCATTCATTCAAAGAATTCAGCATTTTCGGTATCAATCGATGGCAGCAACGACAGCGATTGGAAGCTTTACCCCATCGTTGTCACATATTTCTGTGATGTTTCTAATGAAATGAAAACTCATCTTTTGCATCTTCCATTGTTAAATGGAGACGCTACGGGGGAAAATATTGCCTCCTTGGTAATTAATGAGTTGAAACAACTTAACATCTTTTAAATGCTGAAGTGGCAAATTTGAAACAAATTGAAAATTCATCTTTTGAAAAGATTCGTCTTTTAAATAAATTAATTTCCATTTTTGTTAACAATTAAAGAAAATGAATGCCATAATGATGCTTTAGATGAACTACAGAACCAATTTTCTGGTGCACAATTTGAAGACTTTGCCAGTTCTGGAGAAGATAGACTTGATGTCCTTGTTGGTACCTTAAAAAGAATAAAAAGAGCTGATGGAACACCAAAATATGATAGACTAGCAAGAGTTTTATGTGCTATTCTCGTAATTCCACACAGTAATGCTGAGTGCGAGAGAGTCTTCAGTGTTGTGAAGAAAAACAAAACTTATGTTTCGTTCTTCAATTTCACCAAAAACTCTAGAAAACGTTTTAATTGCTAAATGTTATGAGGAAACTAATTGTTATGACAAGAAATTTTCCAAAGAATTTTTGGCTAAAGCCAAAAAATGCACTCTAAATTCATTACAATAATTTTTTTGTGTAACATTAAGTTCTTGTTTTATGTTTCCTAATAAATTTTTTAGTTACTACTTAATTGAGATTTACTAATGTAAGTACAATTTTCTTTTTTCTATTTGTATAAATTGTTATTTTTTAAATATCAAAGCATGATATTAATTCTTCATGTTCTGAATTTGGGGGAGAAATCTTCTGAATTTTTATCTTTAGAGGTTGGCAAATATGGTAATTCTCAATTTTTAAATATGGCTTAAGATGTAAGAAGCATGAATCCAGAATGAAAGTAAAGAAGAAAATTTTTCAAATAGGTATGTAGAAAAATTTTGGATACAAAAGAGTGCGGTAGTCAGCAAAGTCTGAGGGTTGTCTGGATGTGTACTTCCAGCAACCGGACTTAGTGGAGATTTAGACTTTTAAACTTTAAATCAGATTGGCTAAAGTGAAATATTTGATGCAAGCTCAATTTGGTGACTTGGCTGCGGAGTAGTTATTATTCGAGTAAGCTGACTTTCTTTGTAGGATCATTATTCTGAAAACTTGTTTTTGGGCTTGGATCAGTGGAGTTGTGCCGTATTTCTCTCTCAGTCACTTGTTCTCTATTTCTGATTACTGTTAAGTGGTGAAAACAGAAAAATCTCTTAACGAAAAGAGGAGGGTATTTTGAAGTTTCAGTTATTCTTGGAGAATCGTGTTTCACTATCTTCACGAAAATCTCCTATGAATCTTTGGGATTGAACTCTCGAAAATCACAAACTAGCATCCCATAAATAGCTTTTGTATTATTATTTTAATACGTAGTTTTTGATATTTTGTATTTCCACTTGATATTGTATTTTCTATTTGAAATATTGTGCATTATTTCAAATTTATAGTTTTAATTTTCTTTTTACTATGAGAAATTAGAC